CAGGGCTCGGGGCAGCCGGGAACCTGCCGCTGCTCTCCCGCGTCCGCAGAGGGTCCCCCGCCCCGGAGCCCCGGGACCGGGCGCAGCGACGGATGCTCGGTACCGCGGGGGCCGTTTGGCTCGGGAGAAACACGGGGAAACGTTCCCGAAGCGCAGCTCCGCGTCCCCGGGCCTGTCCCCTACCTACAGCCGCAGGAAATTCTTGGGCCAGAAGAGGAGACTCCCGACACGGAACTAGGTTTGAACCACTGACTGTGGCAGGGAAAGCGTTTGTCTTCAGGGACCCAGAATTGCTCTCTCCCCTAGAGGACTACCACGAAGGACTAAATTCTCCTGCCCCGATTCTCCCTTTGGGTTCCCTTAGCTCTATAAAGAGACACCGTGTGTGTGGGGTACACGCTACCACAGAAGCTGTGCACCTCCACATTAAAAGTTTACATTCTCACCTCTGCTAATCGATTGCTTTCCTTTGACTCCACATATTCTAAGAGCTGTGCCTGCTTATAGAAAAACAAGGTAAACAGCCCGAAATGCTTTAGAGTCATTATATTGCAGGCATCCAGCCACTATGATAAAGCCTCCCTGCAGACATTTCAAATGGGTTACAATAGGCACTTCTGTTTCCAAACAGGCAGAGGTATTCAGATCCTGCAATGCCAGTGACGGTACACAAGCATCTGGAGTCATCAGCAATGTTTCTATTTCACACCAGTGAAAAACAAGCAGCTGAATACTTGGTCCTGTTCAACAACAAAGGTGGCCTGGGCCAACTGATGGGTTTGTAACCAAGGCACAGGCCTGCAGCACAAGGTGCTATTTCTGGCTTTCCCACAGAGTTCCTTCTGACCTTGGCCACTGTCTGCTTCACTTCTTTGCGCTTTCCCTTCCTTTCTGTTACATGAGGTACAATCGAACCTTCCTTCTCAGAAGAGGACAGGGACGTTCCCTTCTTTTAAAGTGCTTTGAAATCACGTGGAAACCATTGAACACATAAAAAGTATTTCTATGCTAGGAAGCTGCATGTTGTATTCCATGTTTGATGAATTGCTTTTCGGGGTACTGCTGGCTGGAGCAGCGGTCCTTCCCTTCTACTCCCAGATGTTTCCATCCTGGCAGTGCTCTCTGTCAGGCTGCTACAGATACTTGAGTGACAAGCAGGCTCAAGGTGCTGATCCAACCCAACTTTTGCCCTTTTTTTACCAGGTCACGCACACTTTAACCCTTTACAGCCAGGTCACCTGCTGCGTCCAGTCCACAATGGAGCCACAAAAAACCCAGATGTACCAGCATGATAGGGGGGTAATGAGGAAAAGAGGTCAATTAAGCAGCACTACCACTGAACATGAAACCATAAGCCTTAGCACTTGTGTGCAATTCACGCTTTGACAATATGATTTAACACTACAGTAAATTTAGTTTAATAATGTCAGATTAAAAAAACTGCAGCCAGGTTGTAAAAAATAAAAGAAAAAACCCCAAAAACCAAACAACTGTGTGTGTCAGTCCTGACCGACATCACCAGCTAAGACGTCTGCTTTATGGCGTTATGCTCATTGTCTTCACAATGTCTTACTACATTTCTTATGCTCTCCAGTTACCCTCTGTGAAGGCAAGGCTAACCGGAGTAAGCAAGAATTTTTAATAAGGGTTATTGAATCAGGCCTTCTGTTTGTAATAGCTCTTCCTAAGAGATTTTATGGGACAAATTCCATTCAGTCAGAAACTGCAGGGCCACACATGCATCCAGAGGCACAGTCTGTCCAAAAGAGTTTGCAGAGGGCTGCCAACCTGTACAATTAATTTATTTTAGCTCATTTCATGAGACTAACTAACGCTTCCATGCTATCTTGCACAGATAGCACCTCCTCCTGTACATACTGATCCAAGAACTGCAGGCTGGGCAGTAATCTGTGGAAAGAAATCTCAGACCTTCCCAGCTCTCTCTCTTATGTAACAAGATAAATTTGCACTTCTCATTACACCCAGCCAAGTTCCAGCGAACAATTTGAGTTTCTAGTCCACAGAAGGACAATGGGGTATCTGAGAGAAATGCAAAAACCTTCATATTAACGGTAAAGATCAAAGTCTTTTCCATGACTGACTTCTAAGCATAAATTTTTTCTCTTTCATCTCTAGCTTTCTCCAGGATGAGGGAAGATTTATGCCTGGCAGTTTCACAGAGTTAAGTTTAATAGCATGCCAGGTGGCAGCTGTCAAAGGCAGACTCAATTGCTCTTTCTGCTGTTTGGGAATGGGTTTTCTCTTCTTGCTACACTTTTAAGAGATTAAACCTGACATTACTTCCTAGGACTTGATTTTAAAGTAACCACCCAAACTCTAAGTAAGCTAATAGCTCTGCAACTACACCCTCACATAGTTTACATGTAGAAGTCTGTAGGTATATACACATACATGTACCACAACACATCCACACATCCACAAGCACTTCACAGGAGAATACATACGCTATTTTTAGGAACGAGGGACATGAAGCATCCTTCTTAAACTCAAGTGTGAACCAGTTTCAGCTGTGAGCTGGTACCTTTATGCTGTTTACTTTACACAGGTTTCAGAAAGAACAATGTCTGCTTTTTTTCCTCTCCTGTCTGTCAACTGCTCTTTCTTGTTTGTTTGTTCTACTTTTTCACCTGTGGAAAAATTCAAAGTGTATGGAGAGTTTTCTTAAGGAAAATACAAGGAAGCTAACATATAGCACAGCATGCTGTGCAAAGGGAGGCATCCACAGATGTGTAGCTCTGGAAGGACAACGCAAGAAGTCATCAAACTCACCCTCCTTCTCTGGCCACAGCCAAGTACGTTCAGATCTTCCTGGGCAAAAGTTCATCTAACCTCCTATGAAAGAACTAACATGCTTCATTACTTCATCTTACTAAATAAGATACTGGGGGAGTAAGCAAAATCAGTTTTCTAATCTAAGTATTCTTTCCTAGCCAAATCAACATGGATTGCTTAAAATGGAAAAAGCTGACCATTGCCCTCCTTGTAACAGGGCATATGTCATGTTCCCATAACTTCCCCTTTCTTCTTTCTAGGCAAACCAAAATAATTCTTCCAATTTTTCCTCAAAACTAGTTTTTCTAAACCTTTTTTCATTTCAGTTCACCAGTTCTCCCATTTTTCTGCTTCCTTCATAAATTGCAATGCCTGAGAATAAAGACAGTACACTCTGAGGCCTCATCCACCACAAACAGAATATTACAGCAATTTGTGCTTAAAGCTTAAAAAATTGTAAGCGTCAAATGCTACTAAGCACTATTAAGTACTTGCAACTCCAACAAAAGCAGGGTTTTTTACTCCTTCGTTGCCTCTATCTGGATCACGAAAATAACTGTGGGTCTCACCTGTAAAAAGCCTTCTGTAAGCAATGATGTAGGAGTCAGAAACAAATATATTTTATTCCTAACCTAGAAACAATCTGAATAGAAGAAAAAAACATCAGGGCTGCAACAAAAGGATCAGATGTTGAGTTTATGAAACTGAGCTGAGTATAACCAAAAATCAAGACAGAGACAGTCACTACAAAGGAGTCAGTGTGGAGTGACAGAGAAATATCTGATTGCACTGTTGCATCCCCCTGCTGACATCTTCAAGGAGAGGCTTCCCCTCCCCCTTCAATCTGACAGCATGAGCTATTGCTAAGTAAATGCCAGCCACAGCCTCCAAGGACTAACAAGGAAGTCTGCAGAAGCAAAACAACCATATGTGGTATTTGAACTGGTTCAGACTGGTTCAGAGAGTTTGCTCTACTAACTCAAAGTGCCTTCTCAGATGAGCTTTCTGGGTGGGCTGTAATAAAAGGATAGAGGCCTCAGGAGGGCAATCTGGGTCCTATTGTTTACTGGGGGAGAAGCACTGCAGCTACACTTTTCTAGCATTAAGAGATTAGCACTAAATACTCTCGGCAATCACTGACTTAAGAAATTCCACACACTGAGTCCTCTCTAACAGCAACACTTCTTTATCCTTTTTGTCACAAACTGCCCAGTGCCTTTCCACAATTCCCTCAGTGGTTTTGATGGACCCAACTGCCCACTGCTCACATTGGTCCATTGTGGCTGTTGGAAAGGACTCGGCTTGGGCCATGGCCCTTAGCTCTT